TACATGTATATTAAAACAAAACAAAACCTTAATATCCATTAACAGAAGCTGTGTGTAGAAGGTGTTACCTTTCACTGGTGCATTTCTTTATCTTAAAAGGGTATATAAAAAGATCCTTATTTTGTGTTCATTTCAGTTTTATTTATAAAAAACTGGGGGACTAGTTCGCGATTCTATCTATTTTAAGCACAAAGCTGCAGCTTTATTAGAAAAACACGCTCCTTCAATTTAGTGAAAATAACTTATGTAGGTGTATATTTGCCGAAATATACCGTATAAAGTCAATAAAGAGGTTCGAAAATTTTTCTGTTAGGTATATCAGGGCTAAAGAAATGTTTGATATACAGACACTCTATTATTAGAACAAGATTCTCTGCAAATTTCTAAAATATATCTGACAGATTGACCGATTTTCGATAAAAAGTTCGCAATTGTAATTTCAATCCACATATTCGTCATCTGGGTACTGAATAGTTTAGGTTCGATTTGGGAAATTTTTGATCGTATATATACATATATCATATCATATTATTTATTGGTTCTTGATTTCCATTCAGGAAAGTGAAATCTGGTGGAATTTAAAACTGGACTATATGGAAAGAAGGCGTGGTGGTAATCCGATTCTGTTCGTTTTCGCACTGGAACATAGATGTAGTAATATTATGTACCAAATTCGCTATCGACCAGCGGTCAAGTAGGTCTTAAGGTATGGTTTTTGACCGAAATGTGGAAGGCGTCACGCCCATCCTCCATTTTTGACCTCGGTTCTCTTTAATTCTCTTCTACCACTTCAGGTTTAAATTTTAATAAAAATTCGGTGGACAGTCACTCGGATTTCAACTCATCTCATCAACTATAATCTATTATCAATATAACCCTATATATAACTCGATTATTTCTAAGACTTTCATAATTGATACAAACCTCCTTTAGGTAAACCTATCCATTCTACTCTGTAGCCAGATACCGCAAGAGTATAGAGAACAATCATCGCAAATTGGCTAATCTTCTCCCCATAATTGAATTTTCTTTCCTATTTTTTGAAAGGAACTACAAATTGTATAATAGAAATTAACTAAATAAAGCAATTATATAAATTTTCTTAAATTATATTGAAATGAAATGAAATAAATAAAGAAAATTTGCAAAATGCTGCCTTACAATTCTTACGCCGTAGGCCATTGCATAACTTGTATTCATGGACGGGATGTCTCTTATATATTGTCTCAAATTTGTCACATGATATTAAGCTGGTCACATACGTAATAAGAATTCTTGCATTCTATGTAGATATTAATATATTGTCAGTTTCTATATTTTGTATTCAACTCCAACAAGACAAAATAAAAAAAAGAGTAAGGAATACCTAAGCTCGAGTGTAACCGAACATTTTATCGTCTTGCGATTTGCAAGGATCACAGCAGGTTAAATACCTCCAGGTGTTGGCAGTATTGAAACATTTAGCGAAAGGGTTCAAGATCATTCTTCAACGAAATTCCGAATGGATTGCAATCTAAGCCTAAATTACATTAATTCATCCTCTAAGGGTTTCATCTATTTTAGCCAAAAGCACATACTATTATAATGCCACATCCTAATTAAATGCTCTCTGGCTTCATTACGGTACTTTGCATACCATCTCCACTATATGGACTAAAGTCAGTCGGATGTTCCAAAATTCTATTACAAGTTAATTTGGGCACAAAGATAAAGATTATTAGTAAAATACGCTGAATTTCAAATAAATAAACACATTGACTGATATTTTCGGTCAAAAGTCAACTGTGTGCGCTGGGTCCACATATTCAGTATCATTTTGGCTCGATTTGAACAATACGGAAAAGTTTTATCACTCTACAATAATTGGTACTTTATTTGTATATTGAAATGTGAAAGGTGCAGAGGGATATCAAAATTGTGTTATATGGGAGAAGGCCTGGTTGTAGTCCTATTCTTTTAATTTCAGCACTGTAACACAGAAATATTAAAATAATTTTATGCATTTCACCTAAATATTCCATCCTCGATTGAGCCTGGCTCCTTTAAAGCACGACCGTCTATCTATCTGTGGAAGTTGTAACTTGAGTAAAAGCAAGTAAGAGAAAAATAAGTTCGGGTGCAACCGAATATTTTGTACTCTTGCAACTTACAAGATTCAAAGCCAGGGAAAAACCTTAAGAAGTAAAACGTCAACCGGAAGATCGGAATCTAAGCTTTATATGCACAGTTTCACTATATAACTCATACACTAATATATCATACCTAATTATATCTATTTTAGACACAAAGCTACATATACTGCTATGTTTAAAACACGTTCCGTAATTTTCATTTAGGTAACTCAAATATTGGCCAATATATCCTGCACAAAGTCAACTATAGATACTAGGGTCCACATATTCGGTTATAAGTGCTTTTTTATCTCGTTATTCTAATCAAATAATATAAACAGAAATAGAAGTTCTTATAATATTTGCGCCGAGCAAATTTGGTTCTTGAGGCTTTAGTAGTTTAGAAGATATGTACATTAAACTTAAGAGGTCATGGTCACTCCCAGCTGTCTACCCACAGCTGCCCCTTGCTGCGATCCTATGTGCCAAATTATCTTTTCTTATCCTAATCTAGAGCTTGGTTAGGGTAATTTATAAGTTTTTGGTTAATGAGGATTTGTGGGCGTGGCAGCGATCCTATTACGCCCATCTACAAACTCGTAATTTGTACTAAGGAACCCGCATAAGAAGTTTCATCAAAATATCTAAATTTTTACTAAAGCTACAGCTTGCTAAATGTGTCACAAGCTTTAAATTTCTCAACCATGATGGCAGGAAGGGGTTAATGGGAGTTGATGTAAAAACGTTAGTAGTTAATGGTCTACTATCGGTCACTTTTAGGTGAAAATTTATAACTCAGGAACTACTTTACCGATTTCAGTCAAATTTGGTTACTGTGAAACACTGAAAAAATTTTCCTTTACAGGGTATAAATAAAACATCGATAATGTCATTTGAGTAAAAAATTGTCGAATCGTTAGATGAATATAACTGTGACCATACTCTGTGCAACAATTTTTTAGAGTATAAAATGATAATATGTTATGTCATAAATGTAAGCGGATGTCAAAAAACAAATAAGCGAATTTGGATATAAATACATATGTACCTAAGCGCAGGTTCGTCCGCGGAAGGAATAGGTTGTTATAGCTTAACTAGCGAACACCGCAAACGTTATCTATGCCGCAAACATACTAGATAAACTGATCAGAATACCTTTTGTTTCTGTTTTCTGAGCTGGCAACAAAACACAATCAGGGTGCCGTCAACCAGCAGTTAGTGAAAAAGGCGGGATGACAGAAGAGCAGCGCTAAACCGAACTGCCAAAATTAGTGTAAAATGAAATTTCATTGAACTGTGCTAACATATTTTGGCAAAATAAATGTTTATGTATGTTTGTTAATGATTTTGCATCTTAGCATTTATATATGTATGCATTTTTAAAAAATTTAATTTAGTGTTTTGTATAATTTATTAAACACCCAATTTAATATTTTTCAGCAGTGTCATCATTGGCAAATGTTATAAAAAATGCGAGTTTTCACAGCTCTCTCTCAAATCAAAGAGTCTCGTATTAAGTTATCTATGCCGCAAAACCGCAGCCCAAATGGGCTGATACGACCTATCTTATGAAAGCGCAATTTAAATGATTAGGCAACAACGCTTCTATCGCCCGCTTTACCGTATGTTTCCGTAGAATTCCCCACGATTTGGATTTTTCCTGAAGAAACTAGTCAGCTGATTGCTCTTTCAAACCGCAGGGTTGCCAGTCTTGATATTCTGTAGTAAATATAAAATCTTTAATATAATAAATTTGAAATTTTCTTAAATAAATTAAAATCACAGTCGAATGTTTATAAATATATAAACTATTTTTAATAGTTTGAATTCAGTTTTAATATTTTTTACAAGTGTTATGAAAAATTGTAATTGAAAAATTAAGAACTGCACCAAAAAGAAACTGGAACGTAACGAATTTTATTAATTTCGGCTTGCTTTAAGCCATTTTTGTTTATTATAAGTTTTTAAGTTATTTCTTTGCTTCACTCTTTGAATCATAGTTATTCTGGTTTTAGCTTTTTTCGCCATTGTTAAGGCCAACACCTTTGCTTTAAGATTTGGATCACTAGGGCCTTTTTTTCGCTCACTTTCTGATAAATCTTTAAGAAAACAGGTTTCATTGAACTTTATTTATATTGACTTTAAGTCGTTTTGCTAGTTTCCTGTATGAAATGCATTTTTCAATGCAGTAATTGTGCACAATTTGCCTACACACGTGCTCTTTGGTTCGAACCAGTTCTTAGATGTGTGCAAAACCATATATGCATATTGAGCCATTTCAACGTTGTTCAAATGAAAACAAAAGAGAACATCTGATTTCTACGGGCTCAACTTTTGATAAATTTTGTTCGCTACGGGCGGCAACTAAGGAAAGGCGGAGCGGAATTCGCTAGTTGTACTATTAATCGTAAACAGACGCTTTCGCTTGTTTTAATAAATTAATAGGTTACGACATGTGAAATGAATTTCAACAGTCACTGAGATTTCAAACAATTAAGGAGACATTCAGTTTGGGTGGAAGTGAAATTTTTATACTATCGCAATTTGTAAAGTTCATTGATACCGCCATCCAACTTCATATTAGAAAATATTAATAATTCGGTGAAACTGAATGGATAATCATAACCATTAAAAACAATCGTTAACACATTACACATTTTAATCAACATAAATGATTTAAGATTAGATTGAAAGTCATAATGGATGGAAATCACTATATCGGGTATATTGGGGCTTCAACTTTTAGCACACGAGAGAGAGTGAGCGCGTGAGTTTCTAGTTCATGTGTGCGTTAGGGTATTAATTAATACCTGCAAATCTTGCATAGAGTTAATATGTTATGTGGTCGTTGTGCTTCCAAAGTTGAGTATAAATAAATTTCACATATTATCAATACAACATTAGTGTTAATTGTGAAGTTATAAGCACACGCACCGCGGCCGATCACGAGAAAAATCCGACAGTATTTTGTTTCAGCACCATTTGTCCAAAATAACATAATATCATGAAAGTTCTATTTGTTTTGGCGCTGTTGATTACAGCTGCTGCGTCTTTGCCACAATTTGGTGGCCCTGGATTTGGTGGTGGACTCGGCCGTCCAGTTTTTGGTGGCGGCTTTGGTAGTTTCGGCGGTCGTCCACCTTTTGGTGGTTTCGGCGGACCAGGTGGCCGTCCACCTTTTGGTGGTTTTAGCGGACCAGGTGGCAGTCCAGGTTTTGGTGTCGGCTTTGGTGGTTTCGGAGGTCCCGGATTTGGTTTTTAAGGCTGAGGCAACGTTTATTTTAAAAGATGACAATGAATTTTTGGTTTGAAATGTTTATCCATTTTGAAATTAAATTTAGTCATAGTATGTTTTTAGTTTTTTGTTGTAATAAAATATTTTTGAAAAAATCAATTCAATTTTTTTTATTCAAGTATGCTTTTTTTTATTTTAAAGGAGAAAGAAGGAGGAAAGAATTTACTAAATTTAGGAGTTACAACTTGATATTAGCGTTTACTTAGCCTACACACAACTTAACTTAAGAACATAGTGTAGTAATAAGTACTATGTGTACTATGTGTAAAAGAGTAAACCATTGAATGGTTAATGCAGATATATCCCGTTAACTTAAGATTCGTTTTCTGTTATCAGCGGAACACAATGCTCGCGACAGACTGCAGCAGCACGACTGTGAACTGAAAACGCCGTTGTGAATACTACTACATGAATGTTTGTGAGAGGGCAGCAACATAACAATGGCCGGCATGTACACAAAACAACGGAGTTGTCCATTTTCATGTACACAATTTCGTTGTGGCCATACTAATACCTTGCACTTCAATGAAATTTTGTTATTTTGTTCAAAGTGAAATTTTTAAGCAAAATATAAGTAAATAGGTAAATTTATTTGTTTTAAATTATCAATTGTTATTCTAATAATGTAACAGAGCTATTTTGTGTTTTTCTTTGTAAAATAACGTCGGGTTTGTTAGAGCTTTGAGTAATATTACATTTTACATATTAGTGGCATCACCACTCTACCTCATCTCTCTATCCTCCATTCTACTATCAACTCTACTGTCGTCCTACTGTCGTTGGCAAATATAGGATAAAATTGAAGTTAGCGAGAACGACAACTGTCGGCCTGCCGTCGTGTAGTCGTACAGCTGTCAAAATAGGTCCGTCCATAAAAACGTGTGTATTTTAATATTTGACAGATGTCGTTTGCAGTCTGTCGCGAGAATTGTATTCCACACATTATTGTTTATTCTCTTTTAAAGTTCATTTGTATTCATTTAAACACATTCTTGGTTGTCATTGTGTTGACACATATATTCATGTTTCACAAGTTCATGTGTCCATTTTCAAAGATATATACATAAGTAAATACATAGCATGTAAGCAGAGAAAATAAATATATGTTAGAATGAGTATATGGAACCGTCTTCGGTGAAAAAGCTACTAGGACAGTACAGTTTGAGAAATAAAAGTGAAAAGACTTTAAAATTAAAAAAAAAAAAAATTTTTTTAACAATTTATGTACTATTCTGAAAAAACACAAGGAAGCGAACTTATGACTCAATTTATGAAAACAAAAAGTGCGTGTACAATTTAAAGATAACAAAAAAAAAAAAATAAATAAATAAACAATTTTAAGATGGATAATGTTGCAGACCATACAGTTGCACAATTGCGTGCTTGGCTCTTACGTTTTGAATTACCATCGAGTGGTAATAAAAGTACTTTAGTGTTGCGGCTGACAGAGGTTCCTGCAAGTGAACGTGGCGAGTGTCCAAGTGGTGCAGAAGTTTACGAAATTTTGCTCCCAATATTTGAACATCAACAGATTGTACCAGATACGGACGACATTGCTGCTGGAATGGAAAATGGTAGCAGCCAGTGAAAATCTTAGCAGACGCAGGTCCGACAGAGGTTGAATTACTGAAGCGAGAGACAAGTTTATTGAAACGTGAAAAAGATTTGCTGGAGCGGGAAAATGCAATGCTACAGCAAATGATTATTGGTGGTGAAACATTGAGCCACCCGCAATTGAATCAAACAACAATCTGATACCCGAGTACGAAGGTGGCGTTAATTTCAATTTGTGGGCGGCACAGTTCAAAAGCGTCGCCAGTGCCTACACTATAAATGAAGGCGAGTCGAGCATTATATTTCTTAACAAACTGAAAGGCAAAGCACAACCCCGATTTCGCAACTCAACAAGTAGATGAGCTCAGTCAAATGAATCAAATGTTTGGCTCAGGTGAAAACAGAGTGGTGCTGCGGCGAAAATTTGAGACCAGGAAATGGAAGTCGGGTGAGCGGTTTATTGAATATTTCAACGATAAGCTGGTATTGGCAAACCAACTACAGCTGGGAGAAGAGGAGTTGGCCGAATACATAATCGACRGCATACCTGRTTATCGGCTACGCAACCAAGCGTATATGCAGTGCTACAAAACAAAGGCACAATTACTCCAAGCATTTTCCAAAATTGAAACTGGGAGAAAACCGATTGCGCCGGCTCAGTCGCAGATTCAAGAAAGAAGATGTTACAACTGCAGCAGTCGCGGACACYTAGCAGCAGAATGCCGTAAACCAAAGCGAGAGATGGGTACGTGTTATGGGTGTGGCAGTCGAAATCATCAAATAGCAACATGTCCAGAGAAGAAAACTGTCCACGCAGTTAATGAATATGTAAGATTATTTCATTTTGTTATAAAAGATTATACAAATGTTTCATTTTCACTAGAATGTCTGATCGACCCAGGTAGCCCAATCAGCTTCATAAAAAATTTGCGTTGCAGAAAATTTGAAATTGGAGTTTTTATCAAATGTAAATACTTTTTATTTTGGTTTAAATAATACGAGAATTGTAACTGATGGAAAGTTTTTGTGTTGTATTAGAATAAATAATGAATTATTTGAATTAAATTTTGTAGTAGTTGATGATTGCACCATGCATTATGAGGCTGTATTGGGAAGAGATTTTTTGAGAATTTGTAATTTTAAGTTATTCAGAGCTGAAAAAATAAAAAATTGTTGTGATGTAGGTATGACGAAAAGTCGGCACGACATTAAAACCGAACTAAAGTATAAATGTAAAAAAGATAGTCCCGATAATAATGTTATGATATGTATTTAAAGAATATATATGTAAACGACAAAGGCAATGTGAAAGAAAACTGTAAAATGGTAATTAAAGATTCAAGTCAAGTGACTAAAAATTGCAAAGAAGAAAATTTTGAGAAACAACTTTTATTGATAGCTAACGTTGTTAATGAAAAATTAAATTTCAAAATTGGCTCGAATATGAACTATAACGATATCGAAAAATTGAATGAAATTTTAAGTAAATATTATATAAAACCAAAGCGCGCGGCTGAACCTAAAATTAAAAGTGAGATGAAGTTGGTCGTTGACAATGCAAAGCCTTTCAACTGTCCTCCGAGACGTTTGTCCTATTCGGAAAAAAATGAATTACAAATATTGTTGGATGAGTTTTTGAAAAGGAAAATAATTAGGCCGAGTGAGTCAGAATATGTGTCACCAATTGTACTAGTGCGTACAAAGACAGGCGACATCAGAATGTGTGTTGACTATCGGTCACTTAATAAGGTCACAGCAAAGGACAATTACCCTATTCCCTTGATAGATGACCTGTTAGATGGAGTAGCAAATAAAAAGTTGTTCACAAAACTCGATCTAAAGAACGGATTTTTCCATGTATTTATGGAAGAAAATTCAATTAAATATACTAAATGGACCATCTACATTTTGTAAATAAGATTTTTCTAGATATGGTGAAAGAAAATAAAGTGATAATATATTTAGATGACATAATGGTAGCTACAGAAACTGCGGAGGAACATTTCGGAATATTAGTAGAAGTTTTCAAAAGATTGGTCGAGAACAATTTCTAGTTACGAATTGATAAGTGTGAATTTTTTCTGCAAGAAGTAAAATATTTAGGGTACACCATTTCACAGCTAGGGGTTAAAGCGGATGAAAAGGGTTTAGAGGTGATTAAAAATTTTTCAATTCCAACTAAAGTTCATTCTGTACAAAGTTTTTTGGGTTTGTGTTCCTATTTCAGACGATTTGTAAAGAAGTTTTCGATTATTGCTAAGCCGTTGTATGACTTAACTCGTAAGGACAACAAATTTCAGTTTGGAGCTAAAGAGCTACAAAGTTTTGAAGAGCTCAAACAAAAGTTATTGGAAGCACCGATATTAGCGATTTATGATCCCTTGGATGAAACAGAAGTACATTGTGATGCAAATGCAGTAGGGTTTGGTTCAATTCTGATGCAAAAGAAAGTAGACGAGAAAATGCATCCCATATTTTATTTTTCTAAAAGAACAAGTGAGACGGAAGCGAAATATCATAGCTTTGAATTAGAAACGTTATCCATAATATATGCACTCAAACGATTTAGGGTCTACCTTCAAGGGTTAAAATTGAAAATAATTACTGATTGTAATTCATTAACTATGACACTAAATAAAAAAGAATTGAATCCTAGAATAGCGAGGTGGGCACTAGAGCTTCAAAATTATGATTACAGTTTACAGCACAGATCAGGTACACGCATGCAACATGTTGACGCTTTAAGTCGCAGTAATGATATTTTACTGGTGGATTCCAACACTTTTGAAGAAAATTTAATCATACGTCAGGCAAAAGATGAGAAATTAAAGAACTGCGAGGCGTTTTGCAAAAATGTGAACATAATTTATACGAGATGAGGAATGGGGTTATATATCGAAAAGTAAATAATGGAAAGATCCTGTTTTGTGTTCCTGAAGCAATGGAAAGGCATGTACTATTTAAGTATCACGATGAAACAGTGGATCTTATTTCAAAACATTATTGGTTTGCTAAGATGAGAGAAAACGCAGCTAGCCACATACAAAATTGCTTAAAATGTATAGTTTTTTCGTCGAAACATGGGAAAGAAGAGAGTTTCTTGCATAATATTCCCAAAAATTAGAATCCGTTTGAAATTATACATGTAGATCATTACGGTCCTGTAGATAGCTCGAGGCTAAAGAAGCACATTTTTTTTAGTCATAGATGCCTGTACAAAATGTATTCGCTTATATACTACAAAAACAACTAATGCAAAGGAAGTGATTACTTCACTCAAAGATTACTTTCGAGCGTATAGTAGATCAAAAGTACTAATTTCTGACAGTGGTAGTTGTTTCACGTCAAACGAGTTTACAAACTTTTTAGAAGAGGAAAACGTTCAACATATAAAGATAGCTACTGGTTCTCCACAGGCTAATGGACAGATAGAAAGATAGAAAGAGTGAACCGGAGCCTAGGTCCGATGATAGCCAAGCTGTGTGACACAGAAAAAGGAATTTATTGG